GATAGTGTTGCTACACTATAGTTGATGATAAAATGATAGTGTTGCTACAATATAGTTGATGATAGAAGGATATAGTGTTACTACAATATTGTTGATGATAGAATGGTAAGAATGTTCCAATATAATTAATGATAAAAGGATAGTGTTGGTACAATATTGTTGATGATAGAAAGGTAGGAATGCTACAATATAGTTGATGATAGAAGGATAGGGATGCTAGAAGAATGCGATGGAAGGCATCAATTACAAGGAAGTTCCAAATGTAGTTATGTTACAAAAGTACAGATGCTACAATATTATTGATGTTACAACTGCAATGATGTTGTGAAAGTAGAGATATGCATTTGTGAGTATAGTGTGTGTGCGAGGACGGGTGGCAGTATAGAGGTAGTGATGATACAATAGTAAGGAAAATGCCGGAGCGTCTTGCGTAAACAGTTATTAAATGCATTTTAAATCCTAGATTTTACTCTGCCCCTCGTCGTGGCCACCGCTTATGATCTCGTTACACGTTAGCTGGATATCAGTTTTCCCAGCATCAACTCTATACGTGTCTCACTCGAGCGAAACCTGTTAGTGGAAATTGTTGAAATGTGTGCCGTCGCCATGGCAACCGGCGTTCGACACCATAGATGAAAGCGAACGAAACGCGCTGATGTGAAAGGCTAGAAATATTATAGATTTAAAGAAACTGGTCGTCTGAGTAATGCTCTCTCTAGTGTCGGCTCATGCCTCCTCCATTAATTATAACCTACATGTTGCGACGAAGATTTGCTTCGAAGTATTTCGCCGCGCGCGAAACGCGGGCATGAAGGCGTGATGAAGGCTTCACGCTTCTCGTCCGTTCATGGCCATCCTAACTTTGATTTCGCTCACGTCGGATTGCGCGCATGTTGCAGCTGCGGCGATGCGCGCTCGCGTATTAAGTTTATTAAGCCGATATTCGCAATGTAATGACAACCGCCAATAAGCGTGTGCCTTTGTGCGGAACATGCTTTTGCGCTGCTTTTCATCTCTGCGTTGTGTTTTATCAAGGTAATAGGTTCAGGTCTTATGTTTCGCTTTCTATATAAAATCCAGGCCCCATTCTATTTCTCTCTCTCTCTCTCTCTCTCTCTCTCTCTCTATCTATCTGTCTGTCTGTCTATCTATCTGTCTGTCTGTCTGTCTGTCTGCCTCTCTATCTATCTATCTATCTATCTATCTATCTATCTATCTATCTATCTATCTATCTATCTATCTATCTATCTATCTATCTATCTATCTATCT